CTCTTTCAATGCCTCCAGTGAAATTCCTGCCTTTTTTGTGAATGTAGGGCTCTTGCCAAAAGCAGCTGAAGTTAACACACTCCAGCACAGGCTGTAGTCAGCCCTTGAATGTTTTACATTTCAAATGAAGGAGCCTGATGCCCAAGACTGAAGCAGGTTCAGGAGCCTGGACACTGAAGCGCTTGGTCTCCATCGTACCAGCAGTAGAAGTTTCTCTACTTTTGACTTTCAGGGAGTGTTGCTACCCAGAAGGAGCTTCCTACTTCATTTTCCACACCACTATCCCTTCTGTTGTGGTTAAGACAAAGAAAGGTGCCAGCCCTAGTAAAGGGTGGTGAGCTGTGTACAACTGCTTCCTTGGCAGCTGATCAAAACCACCACTTTGTTCAGGCCACTAAAGAGCCACCTAATGGTAATGCCAGACAGTCACCACCACTCTGAATTTACAATACCATGCTAAAGAGAAAAGACTCCACTCATATTAGTCCTCTAGGCCCATTAACTATCTTTCCCTCCATTCAAATATATTTTTTACACTTATTTTGGATATTGGATTGGAATGCTGGCAGCTGTAGTCCATCTCTACCTAAATGTAGGTAGAGTAGATTGTATCACTGACTGTGACAGATTATTAAATAAGCCATATGTTGGCAGGAGCCTATAGTGACAAAAGTTTTTGTTAATAACTGTTGGATACTTCCACCCTGAAAAATTCTAAACATTTTTTGTTGTAGCATTTTTTTGAACATTCTGAAAAATAGCTTTGTTACATATTGAAGACATGCAGACAGAAGGGCATTTCATTTCTCAGTATCAAATATACATTACCACCATGAAAAGAATTGTTGCACTCAGATGCTGCAGGTAAGACACAGAATCTTCCAAAGACATATATATAGGTATTAAGCATCACTAAAATTTCACATATGTCTCAGAAAATGAAGTCTGTGAGCAAAAAGCAATATAATTAACAGTGTCAAAACTTGTATTCAAGTCAGCATCATTTTCCCTAAGTGGTAAGAATTATTGTTTTAAATGTGCTTTAAAGAAACTTGCTACCTGTATAACTCTTTGGTTACACTTCATAGATGCGTGCATCTTCAAATTAACTTCAACTGGAATATTTTAAGCTGAATTAAAACAAATAGGAAGGAAGCTTCTGCAGAAATACAAGAGTATTCTGTTATGGTGGTGAGAAGGAAGGAATAGCTTCGTCTCAGCTTTTGCTGAATTACTGAAGAATTCTTTGCAAAAAAAATAATAATCAAAACAAATAGAGGTACTCCACTGGCAAGTATATTAGACTGCCATCATAAAAGTAAACACAGAGAGACTTCATTGACTAAATTCACTGCTATTTCCGTGTTACAGCAGAGAAAAATGGCTTTGTCTCCCAAGATTCTTCTGGTATTGTTTGAAAAATTATATTTAGATGTTTGTACCAAGAGTTAGGGTGTAAATTGCCTGCTTAATGAAATACATGACACCTTCTGACCAATAAAACACTTTTTTTCCTTATTTTTCTTCTTTTCCTAATTATTATTACATGCAGTCCCACCACCTTTTCAGCCTTGAAGATGGTGGGAAAAAACTCCAAACCATACCTGTTCTCTTGGGCACATCGAATTCTGCAGCCTTCCTTAGGGATCACCAAGCCCAAATGCATCCTTAGCCGACAATTGGTGGGCCCAGTGTGAGGCCAAACATGGGTCCCTGGGTGCATGATAGAATATTTGATCTGCAAGAAGAGAAAGGCAGGACTTCAACATGCTCTGCTTCACAACCATAATGCCAAGAGATCAGGACTTCAATATATCTCACCCTTGATGATGGGCCAAACGTGCAATGTCACCTTTTATTAGAGTCTCAGCAACAATTAAGCTTTCTTAGATCCTAAAGGCATCAAATACCACAAAAAACCCCACACAAACATGCCTTGTGGGGTGTGGGGTGTGCATCTAGGTGTGTGCATGTCTAAAAAATGTATATTTTTAATTTTATTAAAAAATAATCAGTATTTGTATTTCAACCTGAAAATTATCTCCTGTTTACAAGCAGAAAAAAACCTTTCCTATGGAAAGACTTACAGACACTCTTATAATTTAAAAGGATGGGCCACAGGAGACACAAAGCCTGTGTTAGACAGGCTAACTGGCCTGTCTCACATGACAAGTGGGTTGTGAAGGTCACTATCAGCTTTGGCTGGAGCAACCCTGGGATGTCCAGGATCATGAGAAGAGGGGAAAAGACAAAAAGCAGAGCAGAATTACTACCCACAGCTTCAGAAGAGAAGACTGGCTTATTCGTGGATCTGCTGGGAAAAAAACCCCACAACATGACATACAGTGCTGGAGAGAAGAGGGGTCTAGGACAGCTGGTTGGTTGATCTTCAAGAATCATCTTGTCCAAGCTCAAGAACTATTCATCCCCATGTGCAGAAAGCATAGAGACCCAGACAAAATTGAAACACAAAAAGGAAACACATAAGAGGTGGAAACCTGGTCAGGTCACCCAGGAATACTGTAGAAAGGGTCTCTGAGCACACAGGGATGAGGTTAGGAGAGTCAAAGCTTTCCTGGTGTTTAATCTGGAGATGGAAGTGCAGCAAGAAAGGTTTCTACAAATACATCATCAGTAAAGGAAGTCTACAGAAAATGTGGACCTGCTGCTAAATGTGACAGGAGGTCTGAGATGGAAAAGGCTGAGGCACTATATGCTTTCTTTGCCTCAGTTTTTACTGGTATGGCAGACCATCAGGAACCCCAGGCACCTGAGACCAGTGGAAAAGACTGGAGCAAAGATGACTCACCCTCAGTGGAGAAGGATGAGGTTAGGCAACACTTAACTAAATTCAACAAATCAGTTCATGGGTTCTGATGGGATCCACTCATGAGTGCTGAGGCAGCTGGACAATGATAGAAAGCAAATATTGTTCCTATTTTCAAGAATGGCAAGGAGGAGTATCTGAGGATGAAATATACGTATTTAGACTATAGGCTAGTCTGCCTCACCTCAGTCCCTGGAGAGGTGATGGAAAAAGATGACTGGGAGCAGTAAACATGGGTTTATGAAGGGGAAATTGTACTTAACCAGCTTCCTGTGGTGAGATGTCTAAATTGGTGGTAGAGGGAATATTAATGGATATTGTTTATCTCAGCTTTATTAAGACTTTCCACACTGTCTGACATAAACATCCTCATTGACAAATGCATGAAACAGGAACTAGCTAAGTTGACTCTGAGGTGGACTGAAAACTGGCAGCTCAGCCAGGCTCAAGAGTTGTGATCAGAGGCACAAGGTCCAGCTGGAGGCCACTCACCAGGTGTACCATGGAGCTCAGCACTGGTTTCAACACTGTTTATAGGTTCACGAATGACTCATATGAAGGAACAGAGCGCATCCTCCTCAGCGAGTTTGCAGATGATAAAAAAATTGGAGAGGAATGGCTGATTCACTACTTTTTTTTTCTTTTTTTTTTCCTTTTTTTTTTTTTTTCTGCTATAGGGACCTCAGCAGGCTGGAGAAAGGAGCAAACAGGAATCTTATGCTGTTAAACAAAGAGAAGTGTAATGTTCTGCACTGGGGAGCAATAACCCCATGTACCAATATATGCTGGTGGGCAACTGTCTGGAAAGCTGGTTCCCAGAATAAGACCGTGGGGTCCCACAGGCAGCAATCTGAACAAGAGCCAGAAATGTGACCTTACAGCATAGATGACCAACAGCCTCCAGGGCTGCATTAGAGACACCTTCGGCAGTAGGTTCAGGGAGGTGACTCCTCCTCTCTACTAAGAGTTTTTGAGATGTTTCAAGTGCTGGGTCCAGTTCTGTGGTGCCTGCTATGAGAGAGACACAGACACACTGGAGCAAGACTAGCAAAGGGTTGTAAAGGTGATTAAGGGATTGAAGCATCTGACACACAAGGGGAAGCAGTGAGAGTTGGGACACTGATCTAGAGAAAAGAAGGCTCAAGGGGATCTTATATTGATATATATATTGATAAGTACATGATGTGAAGAGTGAAGAAGATGGATGCAGGCTCTTCACAAGATTATCTAGTGAAAGGCAACGAGGCAATGGACACATTGAAATACAGGAAATGCCATTTAAACATAAGGAAAAACTTTTCTGCTATACACTAGGCAGGTTGCCCAGAAAGACTGTATCATCAGAGGCATTCAAAAACCTGACTGGACACAGTCCTGAGCAACCTGCTCTGTTTCATCAAGCTTGGAGCAAGGGTTTGTCTCTAGAGGCCCTTTTCCACCTCAACCCTTCTGTAACTCTTCAGCAATGCAACAAACAGGAACTGTCAATAACACATGACACTGGTAAGAAGTGTCTTTTCCACCGAGAAATCTGAACATAAGGCTGGGATGGGGTAACTTTGATAAATGTTAGCCCTTAAGATATCGCTTGCTCTCCAGCTAACAAAATCAGCAGAAGGCATTTTGTGACTAATGCCTTAGCTGTTCTCACCATCTGAGGTTTCAGCCTACCAGCAGTTTCTTGTGACAGAAAGTGATAAGCTCTAATGGCTGTGGTGAACTGGTGCTACAATCCACCACCTCTGCTACATTGATATCTGCTACCTTGGTTTCCCTGTCAGACCCTAACACAATGTGATGTAAATAACTGGCTGTGCAGAACAGTTAGTAATATCCCAGAGAAACACTTTTTAATGCTAATATACCAGCATTGTGAAATGATCGCTGCCATGTATGTTATCTGTCCACTCAGATCACTCTAGATATGTCTGTGAATTATATGCATCAGCTGTACTCAAGTACAATATATAAATAGTCCTGAACTACCAATGAGTTATACCTAAAACTCCAAACAGTTAAGAAATGCACAGAATTAAAACCACCTGTGGTACTTATAGTTTATTGCTGTTTGTAAGAAAAATCATAGAATCATAGAATGGTTTGGGTTGGAAGGAACCTTAAAGATCATCTAGTTCCATATACCCCTGACATGGGCAGGGACACCTCCCACTAGATCAGGTTACTCAAAACCCCATCCAACCTGGCCTTGAACCCTTCCAGGGAGGGAGCATCCACAGCTTCCCTAGGCAGCCTGTTCCAGAGTCTCACCACCCTCACACTAAGTAATATCTTCCTAATATCTAATCTAAATCTACCTTCTTCCAGTTTGAAACCATTTCCCCCCAACCTATTACTACATGACCTTGTAAAAAGTCTCTCCTCAGCTTTCCTCTAGGTCCCTTAATAATACGATCACTTGCCATTGTTTACCCAGTCTCTCAGCAGCACTGAGAAAGTCAATTATTTTACATTTCTTTCATCTTTGACAATACACAAGGTGCCCAAAGCATCCAAACAGCCTATCTAATGCAGAATTCCTCATTTCTCGGTTTTGTTTGTTCCCAGTGCTTCCAGGTGCTTCAATATGTGAATAGAGAATAGGTGATATTTTAAATTCAATTTAAGAGGAAGAATCAAAGGCACAGCTAGCATAAGACCAAAATTATCCTAGGCATCCCCTAATATTGGATGTACAACTTAAAACTTCTAGAGCACCATTTTTCAGATTATTTTACATGTTCAAAACATATGACTACAGTTGTAGCTGTGATACACAATATTGCTGCAAACCATATCCTGATGATAACAAGTGGGGTGCCAAAAAAATGGTGAACAAAATAGCAGCTCTCAAAGTGAATTTTCTCTCTGGGATAGACCCATTTTTGCTATGGATGCCATTAAAAACCATTTTCTTGCTGTTAGCCACACTGAGAGTGATGACCTCTCTCATCCCTTACCTTCAATACAGCCAGCCTTTGAAAAAAGTCAATTAAATAATACTGTGTTCATTCCCACAACAGTAGCCATCTAGTGTGCTTCTGTGTATCAAAAGCAAGAGTCTGGTGAAAAAACTGAACATGTACTCTCAAGGCTCTGAATTAGGATTGTGGCAGCACCCTGTTTTTCAACTTTTGCATCCTTAATTTTGCAATGTGAAGATCAGTCTCATGCAGTCATTACAGATATAACTTGAAAAAAAAAAATCTGTCCTACAGAATTATATGTTATCTATGTTGGGCCAATCATTTAGCTGCCTTTGTATGGATCCATACCATATAAGTTTACTGACTGACTTGATGAGGTTAATTTGAGGCCAAGTGGTCCGTGTAGACCAGGCACTTGAATCAAACTTTGTTGGCATCCAAGACCACAGCTTATTGTAGATGCAGAATTTCCTTCCTTTACCTTTAGGAAAGAAGCACGTTTTTTGGCTTCTATGAGGCAATTCTTCTATCAAATGCAGCCAGGCTGGGGCAGATGGGTGAAGTTTATCACAGTGAGAATCTGGCTCATTGAATTAGTCTTGTAAAGTTAGGCTTAGATCAGAAAAAAAAAAAAAAATCAAGCATGAAAGGACCTAAACCAACCTGCTGCTCAAAGCAGGATGAGCTTTGAGTCAGAAAAGGGCTGAGGTTTAGTAAGTCATTACTTATTGGTTGACCCATGGCAAATAACTACTTACTTACCATGAGCTCCCAGGAAATACAAGGTAAAAACACTCCACTAAAGGGCATGTAGAAAGGCTCCAGCTAATATATTTTACTTTGCATTTGCTGAGGGCTAAAACTGCTGTATTTTCACTGTTAATTTTATTGTCTGCTTAAGGCATCACTAAATATACCAAGGTCATGAATCCCTCTATACACATTCCTCAAAATCACGTGCTTTCAGCACTAGGACTTTACAAAAATGAAGAAATTTGACAAGTACCTGCCCTCTTCTACAGCCAGTAGCTTCCGGGAATCTTTCCAATAAAGTGCAAGTTTTTGGAACACTTTTACAAGAATTCTCATTTTTTCTTCCTAGTGAAAAGAATGGACAGACCATTGGCAAGAGTAATGAACAAACACTTCTTTGTTTTCTGCTTTGCAGAAAAGCAAGAAAGCTGTTAAAGAGCTGACACTGAAAGACAGGTGAATTTTATTTTTCTCATTTTACAGATTATGAAACAGAAGTACTTATACATTGTAATATTAGTGCAGTCTGCACTTCATTGCTTTTAAATTATTTGTGAAGACCAGGCTTTCTACCATTTTAAAAAACTTTATTCTAAAGGTATAATCATTAATAAGGCTGCATAGAAAAAAAAAAAAAGACGAAAAATGCCACCAACATCATAACATTTTAATGTCAAGATCATATTTTGATATAAGCTGTTTTTAATATTTTATTTTACAGTACTGTTTCATATGCAGAGTTGTATAAGAATATAAGGTCATTCCAATAGTTGGGTCTCCCACTGCGCAGCTCAGCAACAGGGCAGAAGGCTTATTAAAGTCATATTATTTTGCTCATACCATTTCTGAATGACAGATCTCACCTAGCTGACCACACAATATTGAGGATACACTTTTTCCCTTGTTCTTGTCTTCTCAGAGGCTGACCTGTACTCTGTGCAACCATGCAAAATGTTGGCAGCCTTACCAGAAGAATATTACCCCTCGAGGGATTCTTAGAAGTGCTTGGGGAAAATGTAGTACTGCCCAAGCAGTTTTAAACAAAAAACACCCCAGTTCACTGTCACAGGGGTCCCAGACACTACTTTATTAGTTCCCTGCTTCTTCAGTTCTGGAAAAAAAACGTGTTACTTCTCCTTATTACACTATAGTTAATCTGAGAAAGTGAAACTGGGGAAAGAGAAGAAATACAAAAAGTTTTACCTTGTTGCCATAAGGTAAACTGGCTCCAGTCTCCTTTTTCTCGTAGATTCTCATCTTCAGGCAAAAAGAGGCTTCTTTTTTTATCCATCACAGCAAGCCCCTCATCCCGAATGAGCTTCCAGTTTTTTTCTAAGGACTGTTTGTGAGAGTCATGTTACTGCACTGAGAACTTTACTACATTTGGCTTTAGTACTGTTTTTATATTTCCCTGCCATTATTAACTTTTTTTTTTTTAAAGCACTAAAAATGTGTTAATCATCATTATCAAGTTTCTTTATATTCAATTCCCTTCTGACAGGTTAAGGCAGGAAAACCAACTTTCACAGCATTCCTCAGATTCAATTACATTGGGATAATGTAATTGGGATAATAAAATTTTAATAATCCCCAGTCTCTTTGCAGAGTAGGCCTCACTTTGACTTGCTTTTTTATTAGCCTAACGACTCTTTAACAAATGAATTTGTATTGCAAGCTAGGAAGAATACTGATCTTCTCAAAGACAGCACATGTTACCTGGAAACATTCTTGTAATTACAAAACCACTTGCAAAACCTGGAACTCCAGGCATTGGGAGAACATCACAGTACAAATGCAAACAGGCCACTTAAGTGGATAGTTAGGTTTTAAACTTTAAACCAAAAAGGTTTGCAATGATTCACTTGCACATGTTATCATTGGGATTTGGTAGCATTTCCCACACATCCCGCACAGATGTAAGAACAGAACAAGATAAAGCAGTAAAAAGTAACTGCTGATTGTTTTTTGTTTTGTGGAATGAGGAAATAATGTGTTTTTCAACTAAAACCTGTACAGAAGTTGGAATAGTTTAGAAATTAATAAAGCCAATGTCTTGAATTATTTTTGCCACTTGCTGGAAAATCCTACTTCAAATTTCGCTTGCAGCATCACATGTTATTAGAATCATGTCTGCTTTCTTTCAAAAGTTTGAGTGTTTTCTTGAGCTATGAGAGAAAAACAATATAAATACTTTTCCTGATGCATTTAACTTATATTTTGGGTTTATACTTTCAACTGTGAATGCTATCTTGAAGAATACAATACTTATCAAATTATGATACATATATAAATAAACTTGCAACCACAATTTAGTTCAGATTCAATTACATATTGCTAATAAAACAGCTAAAAGAGTACTACAAAATTATTGGATTGAAGAGCAATAAATGGATTTCAGAAAGGCAACTGTGCTGTCCATCCTTGTTTATCTTCTGTACAGCTCTTCTAGGAGCCATGTGGGATGCTGATCCAAACCAAGACCTCCATATATGGTCTGATACATCTGAAAAAAATCCCTTCAAAGTGGAGCCCTGGCAATTTTGGAATAGGAAGGTGAATTCTTTCATCATTCAAAGTTGACTTGTTTCCTTATGCCAATGGTGGAGAGACCATTACCTTCTGTGACCCAGGAAGTTGAATGTTTTACATCTAGAAGACTGTAAAACATCACTCTAGATAGCTCTCAAACATGTATATTTTTCTCTTCTTTTTTTTTTCTTTTTTTTTTTTTTTTTGGTTTTGTAAAAAGAACTATTATAAGAAGTTCCCAGTTTCTCTGTCTCCTTTATGGCAGGGAGTATCTATTCCTACACTTTGCTCGAAAATGAGTTCAATACATCCACATTTCAAATCTTCCCAAGCACTAGTACATAAAGCTAATTGCATTTTTGTGTGTGAACTGAGATTACACTAGAGAATCACACTTCAGTCTAAATTTCCTAACCTTATTTATGCTGCCATCAAAAGCATAACAAGGAATAATCTCCCTTTTCAATATATACATATATATATATAGTAAAAAGATCCCTTCAGAGTAGGTTTTTAACACATTATGTAACTAGGCACAATGAAACAACCACTCTGAAGGAACCTGTGTCTTGCAAGTAAACATTAATGTTTTACAATTATTTATGCAGGATAGTATTGCTAAATCACATACCATTAATTAAAACATAGAAGAAAAAAAGATTCTTACTCCCTTTTTTATTTTAGGAATTCTGATTAAAATTATTAAAATTAAAATAATAAAAATTGTAATATTTTGGAAACAAACTATTATTACAAATAGTAACCAGAATACTTGTATTGCATTAAATAAAAAATAACTTTAAAGAACTTAAAACTGCTTTACCTTCACCAGTTCAGTGTAACCAGTTTCCCTTGCAGTCCACCATGGTTGAGCTTTCAGTCCCTTAACGTTGTAGAGGGAGCGTTGCCAAACTGATGCAAAGTGACCTCTTTGGTATCCAAGTTCATACCACTTGTATGCCTGGAAGATTGCATTTATTAACAACCAAATTCATAACAGCCAAGCTCACACAGGAAAAAAAAAGTAACTTAAGCTTTTTTTGCTAAGGTAACAGACTTTCTCTTTGGATGCCAGGGTTGCTACTCTAACATAATATAGTAATGAACACTTGAAGGAAAAAAAAACAAACAAACCTCAGAACCCCCATCAGCAAAACAGGATAATCTTCTCACAACCACTCACACCAATTATGGGTCTGTAAGTCCAAGGTGTTGTCCTTGGAAGAGCCAATTGTTTGTCACTTTAGTCAACCCTGTTTTCTCTATGTTTCAGTTCTTCGTCTATGAATTAAAGATGAGTGCCTTCTGCTGGCAATGGAGGTGCTATGATGATGATAGCAGTGCTGACTTTGCAGATAGAAATTATCACATAAATACCTAATAAATATATGCACTTGAGTTTCTTCAAATATTTGTTGTCACACCAGAATTGAGCTAATGCTACTAATTTTTGTTGTCCCTTCTCTTCATTTTGAAATCTACTGAGGCTAACACCTCTGTTTGTCTTACTGTCCCTTTCCACATCTTGCTTTACTCCTGTATAGCAGCAAAACAAGCCTGAGCAAAGAAATAAAATGGGAAAAGATGCAGCATGAGGAGCATTGTGATGGACCATACACAGAGAAGGCTACGCAGTGCTGCCACCTCCTCCTTCCTGTCTAGCATTGCTGCTTCAGCTACAATATTTTAGACAACACAAAAAAAACAAAACAAAAGAAAAGGATATGACAGGATTTCCAGGTGTCATCTTAGAGATCTTTAATTTCAGATAGAAGGTAAGAAATTACTTTGACTGGTTTTGTCTTCAAATTTTTACATAAGTCTTCGTATTGTAATCACAGAAATTTTTTTTGAGTTGTATATTTTCTTCAAGTTTTAAAAAAATGTGGTACTCTGACCTTTATAACTCTCTTGAAGTGTGGAGGCAAGGCCACAAGAGAATGTTGCCTTACAGTATTTATCTGAAATGCATAAAACCTTTGGGGATGAAGAGAATAAAAGCCAGAGACATCTAACATCTAACTTTTTTTCCCTAGAGAAACTTTGCAAAACTGTGTATTGGTCAAAAAAACCCCCCATACTAAATGAGGTATTACCTTTGAGTAATACACAGTGTATTTTTAAATTTTGATGTTATCTTGGTTAAGTGTCTGAAAGTGAAGCATTATGAGTTATAACATATGTTCCCCAAGATGTAAATTGTAATAGCAGTGGGATATCAATAGATGGTTCATGCTGACTGCCTGCATTCGTTTGCAATGTCTGGAGTTAGCCCAAATGATAAGAGGGATTAATTACTTGTTTCAGCCACTGACTAATGAGCATGAATGTCACTTTATAAGATCCATCAGCTATAATCACAATGTATAATATTGTTAATCCTCATCTACTAGCACACTTGTGCTATGAGGTTGCCTTTGACAGCATGGAGCAGCATTAGGTTGCTTCGCTCACCTGTTTCAGTTCTGAGTCTCCATGAGAAAACTTTTCATATGCAGATCTTGGCAGCAGAAAAACTAAACAATGACCACGGTACTAATGAGGACTGCTACAACAGTACAGGAAAGTAATTGTTTGAGATGCACTCAGTTTATACATTCTGTCTGAACAGCACTTTTTTCCATAATAATTTCCATGGTTCTAATTTATCCTTTTTTTTTTTTTTTTTTTTTTTTTTTTTTTTTAAGACAATCTGTTATTTTATAAAATTACAGTTGGAAAGGGAACATTCAACACTGTTTCCTTAACTTTTACCAAGACTATATCCATAATATCTAATTTAGCTCTAATAGATGGTACCTTCAAAAAACCTCCAGTGATAGTGATTTCACGTGTTCCTTAAATAGCAATATGTTTCCTTGATTAAATTTTGAGGCTCAGCAAGTCTAACAAGGTCAGTGAGAAAAATTTAGCTTAACAGTGGACTTTCCACTGATAAATGTAGAAGTCTCCTCTAAGTCAAGAAGTTAATTTGCCATAGATTGAAACTTTTTCTTCAGCAGATTTGACCATTAACTCCATAAATATTAACACACAATTATCCTGGGGATTGGGATGATACACTTAACTACATCTGTGTGTCATCTTTAGTCCAACATTGCAATGGGATGCTCTAGCTTCAATCATTAAACCCAGAATATTCCACAGAAGCATACAGATATTTCCTTTTTGGTTTTCTGTCCAGAGAAGGACAGACAGTCCAACAGAGACAGTGATGGCAGAAGCAGTATCTGTGCACGCACGTGTGTGTATTTATGTATAGAACAAGACTAACTAATTCTTATTCATAAATTAACTTTACATTAAAAGATTGGAAGACTATTTTATTGCATTTTCAGAGAGGGCAATCTAACTTTAAAAATACAGATATTATTATATTTAAGTGTATGTATAAGATATTGTAATAAAAGTTCCATGATTTATAAAAAAAAAACTCCTAACCTAATGACCTAGGCTTCAGCAAGGTCACTAACATAGACTTTATCTTAGTTCAGTGATGAGCTATTCTCTGTTCACACTGAAGAGCTGCCTACTGACTAGGCCAAGATATGCAAGAGGTCAGCATTCTTTACAGCATTTTAGGTATCAATATTTCAGGCCTATTACTAGGAAACTGATTAAAAAGCAGTTCCACTGTGGTGCTTTATTCTTTTCACATTTCCCATGTATGAACCCGAGTAGTTTGGTTTTTTTATTTGTTTTGTTTGTTTTGTTTTTAAATTAATGTCCATAGTAAAATTCTTCTGTTTGAGTAACAGTCTTCAACAAAAGCACTTTTCCTCCCTGCCAAAGCAATAGTGCTGATTCACACATTTAAATTGGGCTTTTACATTACATTTGGTTTTAAATTAATAAATTGGAAATGCATATGGTTTTCAGTCATGTATGTTTGCTTTTGTCGGGCATGCAACAGATTTCTTACACAAATCTCTGCCTTTCTGATCTGTTCCTACTTTAATCATTGAACAAATACTGTAACTCAGCACACAGATTAAGTTCTCTCATGGTCTTCTTTTATCACATATTCACTGGTGCTCAAGGCCTCTTTGGAAAAGAAGGGATGTTTACAAAACACATCAGAGCTAGGAGAGAATTTCCATACTGTGCTACACATGTAACTGCTTCTTTTTTAAACTCTGGTTGAAACCTTCTTCACAAGAAGTAGGAGCAGAAAACAAACTCTAAAAATGCCTTTATTAATTTTTTGAAAATGGTTGGTCCCTTGGTTCAAGCTTCCCCATGCAAGCTGCAAGAGTATAAGTTAATTCTAAAGAAAGGAACGTTGAGAGATTCTATTGGCAGATAGATTCTTCAATGGCAGATTTTTTGCTGTTGCTCATCCTGACCACTACACACACACTCGATTGTTATTGCAATAGGACTACTTGTATTTTCAAAGCTGAGTCTGTGCTTGAAAGTGTTTCTGGATCCTGCAGTCCATAAGAGGTTTAGTCTTTAAAGCAACAACATATTAAATGCATACCTCTTTGTCTCCCATTCTCTGCATGGCATCACCCAGATGAAAATAAAAGCGTCCATCATCTGTGCCAGGGTCACCAGACTCTAGTCCTTCCTAAAAACCACAAAAAAAAGTAGAAAAGAAACTTCAACAGGACTTCTAGAAGAGTTCATTTGATTGCTGTAAATAGGCTGCCAATTCTATGCAAGAGACAGGCTATGAAATTGTCTATAAAATATAACCACCATGGTATACTGGAACTTAGGTTGAATGAATACAACATTGAGAATTATTATCACTTTTCCAAATGCCATGGCCTCTCCCCTCAGTCCCTTCAAAACAGAGATGTATACAGAGATGAACACTTGCCCCTGACCCTATATACACATACACAAGCATTTTAGAAAGTTGGATTAAAGGTTCTGTTTTGTGATATTTCTTCCCAAACACTCAGAAGTATACCCAAGCCCTCTCTGGATTTTTCAAGAGCCTTAAGTTCGCATCACACTAACAAGCTCAAAATAATTTGAAGCTCACAGCAGTGTACTTAGGGTTAAACAATAATAAAACTAATACTTTATGCTTAAGAATTGATGAATCTCAATGTACAAGCTTGTTCAGGTTCACAGGCAGTGATACAGCAATAAAACTCCAACGTGTAGCTTAAACTGTGATTAGTATGCACCTATCTTGGCATGTTTAATCACTCCAATTTTATTTTTTACAGGTAAAATATTTACTGTAGGTGAGAAAAGAAAAATACCTTTAGATAGGGTATGCTCTCTGCAATCTTGTTTTCTGCCTTCAGGATGAAGCCATAATGTACTTTAGCAAAGCCATCATTTGGCGTGAGGCTTAGAACCTGTTTGAGAATAAATTAATGAAATACTCATGTATGGGTCTATGAAAATTAACAAACTTATGCACATATTATTATTTTAGTGATTCAATGACATTTTCTTCCATTGCTGGCCCTCAGATCAAGTCTTGGCTTGGCTGTACTTTCTCTTCCCCATTCCATTTTTGCTTCTCCAGAAAAATCTGTTACAAGCCAGATTTTAGAGTCTCAGAAGTAAAAGTCTGGTATCTCTGAACTGCACTATTTTCTGTTGTTGTCTGTCTTTCTCCCATCTCTTCAGTTACAGCATGCTACATTACAGAATTAACACCACTCATTAACACTGAAGTTACATATCCCAGATTTGACTAACCAGAAGGAAAGCAGTTACTTTTGAGCAAGTCTACAGCACCATCACAGAAAGTGTAGTGTACAAATACACCCAAAATAGTTTAGATAGGTTTATACTAGTGGCAAACTAGTCTTGGTAAGAGAAAACAGTACACTGCAAAGTACAGTGAGTGCAATTGAGAAAGATGTGAAATAATTTCAGGGACTGCACAGACCCTGGGAGTGAAAAAGGTATTCTCAGCACTACAGTGAACTGTAGCACTCTCTGGAAGAGCTTACACTTTCGTGGCCAAGAGAAAGGTATCATACAGTAATTCAAGGTCTGATGCAGTAGTAGTTCAATGTGCTTTCACACTAGAAGGTGATGGATATTCTTGTATAGTCATGTGCTGCACTCTGATCAAGACCAAGAGCTAGTGTACTGAATCAACCTGAAAGATTCATGTAATGTCTGAGTTTTAACTCAACTTAAGTTTGCAGGAAAGGAAAAACTACAGGCAAATATCCAGAGATGGATATTTCATGAGGACTGTGCAGAAGAGAAATTTGTGAGTACAGGGGCAGCTGTAGGAAAGGATCAGTGTGTGGGGAAAGTGTTTCAGGGAAAGGAAGTGTGAAGCTGGCTGGCCTGAGTTCTGAAACATAGCCCCAACATTACTGACATAATTTAAGTGCATTTGGTCTGCCTCAGACAAGTGGAAAATTAGAGGGTGTCCTGGTCTGCTTTCCAGCTCCATGTTTCTATGATGTTTAAATTCACAAGGAAAAGACAAGGGGTAATGGGTGCAAATTATTCCTGGGGAGATCCTGATTGGACATCAGAAGAAAATTTTTCACTGTGAGAACAGTCAGACTTTGGAATAATCTCCCCAGGGAAGCGGTGGACTACCCAACATGGGACACTTAACTTTCAGCTTGACAAGGTGCTGGGCCATGACATCTAAACTGTGTTCCTACTGAGAAAGGTGGGGCTAGATGAACCTTGAGGTCCCTTCTAATCCTGCATTCTATGATTTGTAGCTCTGTGTGATATCAATTCCATGGTCAAGTTAATCTGTTGTTACAACTCTTCTCTCCTTAAAGTAAGGGCAGATGGTCTTATCAGGACAGATCCTCAGTTTGGGAGGATCATCACAGGAGCCTAGCAATGGAATTACAGAGGCTTGTAACTGCTGAATGTCTAGCACATCTGCTAAATACAAAACAATGGACAGATGAGCAATTTCTCTTGCCATTTTTGAAGCTACTAAACTTATGCCATGGGTAAAATGTATAAATCATAGCCATTTCCCTCTGCCTTTTCCAGTCACATCTAACCTAATTCTTCAATCAAAACAATTACAAGCAAAACCATAACAAGTCCTCTGGGCCAATTTCTCAGCTTTCTCAAACCTTATTACATACAAACTACATCCAAGCTAAATTAAAATCAGCTCAATGTGGGTATAAATACCAGCTTTATTTCACTTATATTTGCAGAAAAGAGCTACTGTGAAGGAATGACCAATTTGAGAATCTGCCTGAAGTCTATAATATGACACATTACTAGCAAAGATTGAACCTGGCAATTCATAGTAAGGATAAGCTTGATCCATAGCATTAAAATATGCTACCACCTTATGCACCTTATGTCTTTTGACTACAGCATTCTGTGTATAACCATTTTTGTCCAAGAATCTGTACCCACAGGGTAAAATAAAATGACAGACAGAAATATTTATTAGCCATAAAATTTCATTATGGTCCCTTTAACTATAGGATAAAGCTATCTGATTAATTAAGACAGAACAGAGTTTTCTGTATTACAGTTAATTTAAACTATGCCGAGTTGCATTAAGCCATGATCTACATTCAGAGCCCCTAAAGAGAAGCAAAGAGATACAATCAGCAGAAATTACATTGGAAGTATTTAATGTAAATTGTATTACTCTGTTGCTGTTGCTGCATGCAATATTAATTATGTTTAGAAATAAGTTTTACTAAACTGCTCATAGCCCATTAAATATTATTCATGAGTATAGAAATTAACCTCTGGGGCTATCAATGGCTAATTAGCCAGGGCAGAGTACTGTGCTAATGTGGATATTCTGCTTTTGGTACCTGAGACAGTTCAATCAGAGCTGGCTTGTGCGTGTCTGTATAACGCTGCACTGAGCCGTGCAGACGTGCCTCAGCATGGCAGGCAGAAAAAGTCCTATCAGCAGAGTAACTGGCCTTACAAAGTTCTCTTCCACTGGATTTTATGATAATTTGTAGACCTTTGAAAACAAAAGTAGCTCTGAATTCTACTAGGAGTACTTTTAATGTTATGTTTCTGTGCCCCTAATTGTTATGTTAAAAAAAAATACTTCCACGTTAGGTAAAACTGAAATCGTCACCAGTTGGATGCCATTTCCCCTTTGTGGTTCAGCCCAAACTCTGGTAAATGTGTAACAGAAAAGTGCATTTTGGATCAGTTAAACTATAACACACTACAGCTGAACATACAAAACTCTTGATCAGAAGTTCAATGTTTACATGCATTGCTTCTGTAGCTAAAAAAAAAGGAACAAAATATTTAAGACTTTTTCAATACAAATGTGACTCGTACACTTCAACAGCTGTTAAGACACAGTAAATTTGGGGAAAATAATTTTTAAACATTTCCAATTCGATCCCAGTATTTAAGTCTGGTTATCCAAAAAAGACAAGAATCACATAGGAAGTAAGTAAAATGGCTATTAAATATAAATCAGAAATTTTTCATTCACTAGGATTCCTGGGGCATCTACTCAGTTCCTTGGAGATTATGCCAGTAACATTTAGTCTAGTCTGAAATGGAATATACCATAATCCCAACGTAGGGATTTGACAATGTCTGTGAAGGATTCAGCTGGTTGTGTGTGCTCAGCTGATACTTAACACAAACTGATAACACTGAGCTAAGATCAAAATGTTACAGCAAGAGGGGCATCAGTACCTTTTTGCCCAAGAATATAGCAGATTACCAGGAAATAGGAAATTTGGAGCCTAGATTTTCCTGCACAGAAGAGTGTTCCACTACATGGGAACTTGCTTGAGGAGCAGAAGCAAGTACCACAGAAGAAGTTAGACTATGATGAAGAAAAAATGGGACCAGAGAGGAATAAGCAGAAAGCTGAGCCTTTAGTTGAACAAGGGATATGTTCTCTTGAGGATGTGTGCTGAGCTCTGCTCTCCCTTCTAGATGCTTGTGCCTTCTGCAGTAAAGAACTCCTGAATAAAGTGTATGAACATCCTTACAGTGGAAAACAGAACCCAGGATTCCTAAATATTGGAGGCATCTACTGCACAGCACTAAGTTCAGCTTATTGCCTATGCTCTGTCATGGTTTTCTATCAAATAACTAATTTATCCTTCACTACTGAGAAGAAGGATTTAATCACATTACAGAAATTTCCCAGACTTTAAAAAAATCATTTGAAGAAGAAGATGTCTCCTGGAAGCCCCCAAAACCACTCTTCACAGTTTGCCCCTTTCTCTATTGACTATACACAAAGCCTGAGCACCTATGGTAGAAGCTCCAAACCATATGTCAATGACTTTCTAAATATGCATTGCAACAGCTGAGTGAAGGACTCCAGAGCAGAACATATAGCCCCTAAGCAATCTGCCCGAAGTCATGTAAAAAGCCTTCAGTATACCAAGAATAAAAGCAGGCACATCTGAGCTTCTCCTGCCTTCTTTGCCTACATTTCCTTTCTTAAATTTCTTCATGTAAATTTATCCTGAACTACAACAAAGAAAAAAAAAATGCATTACTGTGTTAGAATTCAGCATGGGGAATAGCCAGAATATGGAAAAAACCCACGTGATTTTCGAAAAAAAAATAAACCTAACTCCTTTTAAAAGGTATTTATTTGTTGCTCTTTTACAAGGACAGATCATCACTATGATCTATTCTATTTCAATCACTAGTCAACTACAAAATAGAGTAATTACACTGGATGAAATCTATGGAAGCATGGGAAACTATATTAAAAGTAAACCAGTTCATATTTTGCATATCTGTTCTTAATCAGAGCAGTATGCACTTGTTCTGAAGTGTATCAAACTCAGTATCAGAGTAATTACTTCTTCCATTTATAAAAAGTCCAGTGATTATTGATATTAAGAAATTCTAACATGTGTAGTGTTTGCAGAAAAATACTGAAAAATTGCAAAGGAAAACCTTTCCCCAAAAGAATATATATATTTTTTTTAAAAAAAAATTCCTTGCAGTTTGAGAAGCAGGTTCAGTTAATAAATGCTATCTTTAAAAGCTGATGTTTCCAGTCCCCTAAGAAATTTTGACAGCAGGCCAAAGATTACTGAACAGAAATGTTTTATGGAGGTACCTCCAAAGTAGCTGAAGTAGCAAGGCAAACATTATTCTGGCAACATCTGAAATCATTAGAGGAGCTTGAGAAAGAAATGGTATTATCAGGGTTTGGCTCCTGCTTCCAAACATGTGGTTGAATGTCTTTCTCTTTGAGAAACTACCTGAGATGATAATTCCCCTTCAGACTCCCAGATGAAGGGGACAAAACAGGGCCTTTATTCTCAGGAGGTGGTACTGATCATGCTGACTCATTCTCAGTCTTCATAACCAGCCATTTACCGTGCTACCCCTGCACAAAAAAGCACTGCAACAAACGTCGACAAGACCATGTACCACCAGGTGCTGACAGCTTCTGCTTTACCAGTGTCATTAAGCTCCACATCTGTCAGAGTTTCCAGATGTTAATGGGGTTTGTAGATGACAGGTGCAGAGCAGCCCTTGTTGGCAGTGAACCTTCCCCAGCTTGATAACCATATATAGAACAGCAATATTGTTTCAATGAACAGTTCACTCCACAAGCATCATGAAAGACAAACACAATTTAAGCTGCCTACAAAAATTGTGAAAAAACAAAAGGTTAAATAGCTAGATTGAGTACTGAAATACTTTATCACATGCTTAGAGATGGTGTGCCCATAAAGAAACAGGCTTGCTACTGCTTTCCATGTCTTGCGGATAAGGTATCTTTTATACTATTCTTTACAACTAGATGAGTTGTCAATGTATTCCAAACCTGGCTACTAGAAAGTACAAGAAACCAAACATTATTGAGCATCTGAAAAGCAACTGCACTTCTCTTTCTATGGGGAAAAACAATAAGCATAACAGTATCAGGAAATATTACTTAAAATTAGAAGATAATTAAGAACTGCACCAGAAAAAAATCATACCTATATTAACCTCTCAAAACCAGACAGGCAAAATGTTTAAGAGCTAAGAAAGCTAAAAGTAGGCAATCTTTAGAATGAGCATGTGAATGCAAATCAGTTTTTTCCTTGGCTGAAATGGAAGCTCACCTCTTCATATACTTTCTTGGCACTGTTGTTATCTCCTATCAAGAGGTAACCAACACCAAGGTCATTCTTGAATGAAGTATCACTGGGAAACAGCTGAACTAATTTCTGTAGAGTAATCAGGGAACCTCTCATGCGACCTAATTTGATGGAACAAAACTTAATTACAACTACAGATATGAGTAACAGTAGTAAGATGCTTACACAACATCTAAGAAAACACAAATCAGAGCCAAGTGTTCCACTTTCATGCAAAGATCAAGAAGCAAAACTTAAAAAAAATAAATAACACTTGTGTGGATAGCTGTATATTCAGCTGCTTAGTTGTCACTGGGGACACGGAATATTCCAGGAAATCACTGGGAATGTGTATCATGCAGTGTTATGGCAGCCTCTAGTGGAGAGCTGTTCACAGTGTAGCAGTAATATTAAGCCTGGGTTGCCCGTTCATACTTAGATGGCAAGAGTGTTTGATAAAACTAGGTAAACACATAAAAATAAACTTGGTCTTAATTGATTAAGTAATTAAACACATTTCTAGTGCTAAGCAATGTTTCCACTATATTTCCATTGCAAAATTAATCATGCTTTAGTTGCTTAAAATGAAGTATGTTTCTTTGACTTCCTAGATGAGGTCTTGCTGAAGAAAAGCAAGATCAAAACATGTTGATATTAAAACCCAACCCATGGGAACAAAACTCTTTTCTCCACCAAAGGTGACAGTCTCTCATATTCTAATCAGTGCTTCTCATACATCACAGAACTGAGATTTAAGCTTTTGGATATTACACTTGAGTTCAACTCCATTCTTGTCTATGTTTACAGAAAGTTTATTCTGGATATGTTTACTCTGTGAATGTCATTAATTTCCTTGCGATTTCTCAAACTTCAGCAGAAAAACATTTTCTTCATCCTCTTATCAATACAATTTTTTTGACTACCTCTCATCGTAGCACCTATGGTGCACTGCTGCCTACAGGCACTATGAGCATACAAGCCATTATATAGACTAGTTCCCTAGAAATATTTTTAAAAACTAAAAGATATTTTTAAGAGATTTAAGCATTTAAGAGATTAGGAACACAAGTTCTACTGAAAACTCAATGGAATTGGTTCTTTTAAATCCTTAGTGATCTTTTGAAAGTCTTGCTCATGCAACTTCTGTAATTTTTACACCATCTTCAAATCTTACCAAGAAACTGCTGTCTGTCTGCTTCTCGTTTCAAGCTCAGTTTTATCAGATCCGAAGGGACATTTGGCAGAGTAGCCACCTCATCATAGGTGTTGATGGCTTTTTGCAGCATCTCATTACTTCTCATTTTCTCAGCTAAGTCATCTTCAGACTAGAAAGAATCACAAACCCATTATTAGAACACTTAATAAATCAATTTTAAAAAAAACATCTTTGTTTTCTTAGAAGACAAACTATGCAATTGTTAGGCTATGGGAATAGTTTTAGAATACCTTTGATCTATATAATTTTGGCATAACAATGAAAAGCTTATCTGATTGTGCTTTATGGTAAGGCAGATGATTTTTACTGTTAATTTTTGTTTCCTGCATACTGTTTCAAATTGTAAGCAGGAGAAAATTTGCACCTTAAACATAAACTAAGACAGATTTTTGGTTAACATTTTTAACATTTCTGCTTTAAAAATATATATAAAGCAATCTGCTTTAATAACATGGAAGAAATGTAAATTATTGCTGACAGAATATTTGCATAGTAAGTCTCACACTGGCAGCAATACAGAAATCGAAACATTCCAACAAACATTTATTTATTTCAGAAATTTATAGTCTTTCTTAGGAAATTAATTAGGAATTGGCATTACTCTTGCTTATGTTGACAAAATATCTTCTCTACAACTCTATCAGAAGTTAAATTTGTTCCTTAAAACCAAGAGAAGACCAAAGGGTATATGAGATCACCGTGAAATTACAGCTTCAGTGCAGCCAATGGAAGCTCCTACTGATTTCACCTGTGATAGGGCATTTTTACCATTTGTTTCAACAGCTGAATAAAATAAGCCTCTATCTCAAATACTGAAGTTTTAAAGCATTACTTTGAATCACTTATACAACTGCATGCGTTTTCATGTGTTTAATGCATTCTTCCCAAATACATCTATTTTTATTGGTTTATGTTCTTTCTTAAGTCAATTAGCAGAGAAAGGTGCATCACAAGTACCGCAGGTGCAGAAGCTCTTACTGGTTTACTTAACTTCATTGCTGTATCAGACACACTAAACGAAACAGCTTCAACTGTATGTGTTGTAGTAAGCAGTTAGTATCTGGAATATTTTTGCACTTCTGTGTTTTACTTTTTTTCCTAAGGCTACTTTCAAACTGACCATGGGAAATATCAAACAGCATGGTCACTCAGGCAAATTCAGTTTCAGAGATAGCTTCAGAAATCACTTTGAGGAGATTGTTTTTTCTGATGTACAGTTCCTTAAAAATTTGCTTTTTCTTTTTGGGGGGAATTGCAGGGTAAAGAATATTAAAAGATACATAAGCAAGAGGCAAAATTTGTCATCATAACATCTACATGACATCTTCACCAGTACAGATGTTATATAACATGTAAGGAGGTTTAAATTCTCTCTGTTCTTCTTTTCAGCCTTAAAGGTGTTAATGATTTCTATGGAAGATTTTTTTCATCTGGCCTGATCATAGCTCTAGATATAAAACTGGGAATCGCTGAAATTTCTGAAAACCACAATTATGAAAACTTTTTCAGATTATTTTCTTTTAAGTTGCCTTTTAAAGCTATTAAAAGATCCAGAACAAAACCGCTTGTCTTACTAGAAACTGTATCTACAAAAATAGCATGTAATGTTGGTTGATGGTTCATAGAACTGGAGAAATACATTCTTGTGGGCAATTCCTGGCCTTCACCCTTACCCTACTCTGCAGTGTAACCTTTAGTTAGTGTTGGAAGACAGCAAATTTGAATGTGTTGTGTTGGTGTGAATTCTCACTTAAAAGTAATACATGGTTAACATATAAATCCTAAGAATAATCCATCTGTCAGTGAAACCCACGATTTTCCCATTCCTTCAAACAACTTCAACTTACATACACAGGTTTCAATAAACTGTCAACGGTCACGTTTAGTAAAGAGACTTGTACAAGTCTACGAAGGCTACTGCAACTGGAAATGAGTTTATAGCTGTTTTTATACATTCCCAGAAAGTGTATGTGAATTATTACTTCAGATCTTGGTGCCTAGGACCTTTAAAGCATTACTAGAGTACTAGGCCGTACCTACAAATTTTTGTAAAGGGACAAACAAAGTTGTGACACTGGAGGAAATTCCAAATGAGAATAAGCTTCAGTTGGCTTCAGTGATCTGCCCCCTTCCCTAAAAGCAGTGAGCTAATGAGGAGGCAGGAAGAGACTGTCCCTTGAAAAGATCACCGAAGTATTTGGTCTGCTGTGTATTAACTGCTTCAGTGACAGTTTTTTTGGATACTCACAAGTATGGTTTTAGCATGACTATGACTATCCAAGTACCCGGTTGTGACTCCAAGTGCCTCAGTAATTGTGTAACAGCACAATTCTCTTCTACAGTGACAGTTACACTTTTCTCATCTTGATTAACAGTGTAGTGGGATTATTCTACTATTTATGAAAATGTAAGGATTATCCTCTTCTGAGATATCCCAACATGTCTCAGAAGAATGAAATGCAGAGCTTATTTTCCAATGCTTGCTTTTTTTGCCTTTTTTTTTTTTTTAAACTTTTTTTAAGGGAACACCTGAAATAGAATTCATTCCACAAGAAAATGCTAATAAAGCCTCCCTCTCTAAGAATTTCTGTTCTTTGTCCTTTAATACTCTTATATAAAACGTCCAAATCCCCTTCCCTATTCCCAGTAAGCAAAAAGCAGCATTTAGCCCAGAGCAGAGTGATATGTTGATTTATCAGCTGCAGCAAACAGTATGTAACAGCTAAATTCTGCCTGTTATTTCTGAACTGGGAAGTTAGTTGGGATTTATCTCTTACCATTCATCTGACAGTTTTCATGACAACTAAAGTATGTATCTTATTTTTTGCTATTTACAATATCCCAACTAGGCTAAAGTTAGACAAAAGCTCACAAAATAATTGGGGAAGGACAGAGGACTGAAACAAATTTAGTAATAGATCATATACTTATTTTTTTCCCTGAGAAATTGGGGGTTTTAACTCTAATTTTAAAAAGGTTTTATTATTAAAAATTTTCTCTTATTTAATGTTTATGGCTTTTTTTGTACCTGTGCTTTCCCGTATCTTGCTCGAGGACTCTGTGGATATTGATTCACTAATGCTTCAAAGGCCTTTAGAGCTTCTTCAACTTTTCCCTGGAAAGCAGAGATACTTATCAGCAATTCTATCTAATAAAAATTCTGAAGGATGCATGACCTAATAACACATTCGTTTCTCCAATTAAAAAACAAACAAACCAAAAAAATGCAGATGGAATCTGCAGCTTTCACTCATATTTGTGTTGAGACTGCCTGCTTACTCAAGAGAAATTCATTGTCATTATTTATGAAACAATATTATCTCCTTTCCATGGTTAAAATGAATAGCTTTGTTCTTATTTTACTCACTTTCCCTTCGTTGATGGGAAAAACTACTGAGATGACAATAATGTGTCTATATAAAAATGTAAGTATTCTATTGTTAACATCCAAACTGAATGGAACAGAGAACAGAAAAGAAGTTCTAGACATACATGGAAATTTTCTCTCTGTACACCTTATATGATGAACAGAACCATAACTACGGTTCTTCCAGGGGAAATACCACAGATTCATCCAGAGTATATGGCTGTTTCCTCCCAATGTTTTTCCCAACAATATCCCTCAGGACACCTCACTTGTGCTCTGGGTCACTTCCCTGTGGCATACAAAGTCCAAATGTAACCATGGCATCCTCATGATTGATGCTGACTAGCAGGTAAGGATGGAAGTTGAGAACCAGCTGCACTGTTAAATAGAAGCTCAGCACTGCTGGGCAAAATTGGGCATCAGATCTTGCTGTCAGTTCCAACTCTTACACCTCTACAGAGTGGACTATTATACACAACTGTCTTGCTATCTTCAAATATTACATATGTCTGATTTGTTACTAAAATTATCCTGCTTCCTACAAGACACCAGGATTGCTTGCAATTCACCAAGAGACACAGGCAGGAAAAGAGGTTCAGCCAACTGATTTCTCTAGGCTCATCAAAAGTTTCTGTTACATCTTTCTCTGAGCAACCAGCTCTTTAGGTAATAAGAAGCATAAAAATGCTGTTTACCTTTGCATTCTCACATGTAAACAAGGCTCCCAGTGAAGTGCAGCAACAGGGGCAACCTGAGGTTAGTGCTGTCTGTGTAGTAGCCCTTCCACCCCATACAGACCTACAGGAATTCTGGGGCTCTATGGATGGCAATGTAAAGCTAAAACTGTACAGTCAGTCTTCTGAAAAATCAATAATTCTACACCTGCAGTGACTAAAATGGTTTTTGTTGCTCTGTACTGGAAATAGTGCATTTCATTGCTCACCCATCTCAAATCCAGGACACAAAAAAATGTGTTGTTCTGCATGACCTAGAACTGCCTGTGAGGCATACAATTTTTGACAAGATTTACATCCAAGAGACTTCAGGTCTCTCATTTCTAACATAGTCAGACTAAGGCTAAATCACATAGTCTTGCTTCAGTACTTAAACTTCTATGTGGAAAATGGACACTGCAGCAAAGGTCTCGTTTTCCGAGACACTCAAATATAAAGATAACATTAGAAGTTATCAGAGAAGATGACTGAAGAGTTTTTGTTTATTGTTGGGTTTTTGTTTCTTTGTTTTTTATAGTTATTAAATTCAGGACTGGCAAAATTGTCTGACTAATGCTAAAATGTTGCTGGCACTGATAAGAAGCAGCAACATCTGCTTCATGCTCTAAGCAGCTGTATGGAAGCAGGGACACTCACAGGACACATGCAGAATCCCAGCAAGAACAACGCCTACTACAAAGATTTGCATAATGCTCAAAAGCATATGAATACTTACTGAGAGATCCATATAAAAATGCTTATATTATTTAACTTTTCTGATAATACTTGATTTCAGTACTCAGACAATAGCAACAGGACAGAACTAAACGTGTTCCATGTGGTTGATTTAAACATTTTTTGAGTACAGAAATTCAACAGTTAAACTAAATATTTTCTAGATTAAAGGTGAGCAAACTTGCATGAACAAACATACCCTTATGACTTAAAAAAGTTTAGATAACTATCCAGCAGAAATTAAACTTGAAGGACAAGCAGCCACTGAATATTTTGTTTTTAAAAGTTAGTTTCACAAAAAGTAATCTAAAAGTAATTAATCTTTTTCTAAGTTAATTTTTATTTCATTAATTTTTGCCAACTGTCTACAGACCTGAGTGTAACATTCAAAACTTACTTTTTTACGTAGTTTTTCTGCAGCATCTAGTTCAGCTTTAATGGTCTTATCAAACTTGTTTAAGAGCTTTGGTTTCTTCTTCTTTTGAGCTAGAAGAGATTTGAAACCCACAAATTTCATTACTTCTTTCGTATTTCAGAGCAATTGTTTGGAGTAACCTTTAACTAGCAACTAGTACTGTGCCGGCAAAGCACAAGATTTTCAGATAAGGCAGTTTCAAAATACACTGAAAAGAAATTGATGTATTGCTTATTACAAAGTCCTGCATGTAAAAGCAATCTTCAGTTATTCAAACTGAGTAACTTTGCAGTATAAAGCTTTCGATAGTGTGTTTTTCATCTCATATAGTCAAGGATTTTTTCCAAACGGTTCAAAGGACATGGAAGAACAAATAGAACTGCTATTCTTCCACATTTCTATGGTATTATGAAAAATATTGTGCTGGTAACTTCCGAAGTTCTGCCTATATATGTCTATTTCTTTGCCTAAAGCAATTAAAAGAGTTGATAGAAATCACAGTTACTCAGGGCAGGAGGGACTCAAAAAGTCATATAGTCCAACTTCCTGCT